TAGTAGGAGAGAAGCCGGCATTGAGCAGGTTTCCTGGTGCCTGGCTGGTCTTCCCTTGGGCTGCCTGCCCTACTGGGATATTCTGCAGGAATGTTCATGGTGTCCATTTTTATCAAATTTCTTCTGTACAGTGTTAGGTTGGGAAGCCCAAGTACAATTTACTCTGGTGTCCAAATCTATGAGCCTGGGGACAAACCAGTAGACTCAAACACGTTTAGTCGTCATTAGACATTTGTCATTTCTGTTCTTTAAAATATGTACCTATAAATAAAGGCCCAGAAAAATCTACTAGGAAAATCAAAGCAAGGTTCATGAATCCTTGTTAATCACCTAACAATCAGCTTTGTGAAAGCACACACTAACCCAGCAAAGACTCTGTACCAAAGTAATCTCCACTGCCCTCATGTAACACTCCCACTTCCCATCCAGATTCTTCTCCAAGTAAATTGCACAACATTTATTTGGCAAATGAGCGAATTAGTTGATGAGCCAATGGAAGAGATCTGCACCAGATGTTTGTTCCCAAGGGCAACAGATTTCCCAATATCATTTTTATCTTATTTTCTTATTGCCCCAATTAATTTGCTATCATAACAGGCAGACAGACAATGTCAGCAGCAGCCATCTTCCTACATTTCTATATGGGTGGGAAAAAAAGTAGATGAGCAAACCATGAAAATAACCAGCTTACTAAAATGCTTGATTTTCAGAAGAGTTGAAATTATTCAAAAGTTGCCCAGGACTGGGAGTTAAGAGACCCAGGGGACAAAAGCCATTGTCTTGGCTCTGACACTAACACTTTGGTCTCATGCAGGTAACTTCTCATCTAAGTCCTCAGCATCTTCCTCTGTAAAGTGAAGAGTCTGAATAATCCCAAATTCCTCTTCTCTCCCCTTCTCTCTAAATACATTCTAACATCAAGTTTATGTGAGTTTCTTGGGCTGGATCTTGACCAGAGACCATCATCCATGGAGCTCTGACAAAGTAACCGATACTCAGAGGGCAGGAGTTGCTTTGGACGTGTGTAGTCAATCTTTCAAAAAAGCAAGAGTCCTCAATTAAGCTACCTTAACTCTCTTATTAAACTTAAAATTTTCTCCCTGTCATTTCTGCCTTTCTATGTTGCTCCACCACCTCCCCCCACAAGGAAAAAAAAAAAAAAAAAGAAGAGAAAAATCTTGTGTTTTCTTCCTCCTTGGTTCTTGGAAAATGTGCAATCACTTCCTCTTCTCCTGCAGCTGCCTCCCGTCACCTGCACAAACAAGAACAGAGAGAAACCTCA